GAAATTTCCACAATGTTCAGGCCAGTTTATTCACAAAATTGTGGCCATTGCAGCATCCCCAAGGTCACGTGATCATGATCTCTGATGCTCCCTGCCAGTTTCCCACAAGAAAAGTCAATGCGGAAGCCGATAGGAGGTCGGAAGTCACTCCCACTCCCACTGCTTTTTTGCCCGCCTATGGTCATTCTGTTCATCTGTTTAGGCAAGTAAATATTGACTTATTATTGAAGTTCATTTGCCACTACACTTATCTTTCTATTTATGGTATATACTCTTCTTAGATGACCACAGGACCGTCCAGCATTGGGGTAAAAAAAATATGGTCAGCCTAAAATTTAATGTTCATTCTTGTCACATCAGGCTGCACTACCTTTCTCTCAAAAGATGACCCAAAGGGCCACAGGGTTGTCTAGTCTTTACTTAAGAGTAACTTAACTTTTGCTCAGCTCAGTGGCAACACCTGACTTTGCCTAATCTCAAAAAACCTAAGCAGGATTAGATCTTTGTAGCATTTGGACGGGAGCCATCAGGAAATTCCAAGGCTGTAGACTAGACTCAGAAGTTGAAACGAGATCTTGGAAGGATCCCATGGCAACCCAAGACAACCACAATATCTGGAAAAGAAGTCAAGAGCCCTCTCCCCAACTCCTAAAATGCCTTATAAAACAACATGTTTCTGGAGATCTCCCCACATACACGCACGCGCACACACACGCACACACAAAAGGTTACAAATCTCGTCACTGAGGGAAAATGAGATTATGCAACAATAGGTTTACACACAGATAATCCTAAGCAGCTGGTCCCTGGTAGGTGCAGTCCTAATGAATCTGGTAGCACTGGATTGGGGAAGGCTGAACTCCATTTTGCACCTGGAGAGGTGGTTCATTCCTCTTTGCTGGATGCATTCAGGCATTTGGTGGGGAGTCTTTCACTTGGATTCTTGCATAAGCAGGAGGTTGGATTTAGTGACTTGAATGGGCCCTCCCAACTCTATGATGATAAGCCTGCCTTTTTTCTTCTTGGTTATAGTCCCTTGTGCAAAATATTGATATATGGAGGATCTTTCTTACAGAGACCCTCTTGAAAGGAGAAAAGAGAAAGTCCATGCCACTTGGAGACTAAGAGCTTGATGAATGCCCAGCCCAACATTCCCAGAATTCAAAACCAACCTCCTGAAAGGATCTAGGGGTGCTTGCAGCAGCCATTGGCCACTTAACTGCTCTTACTGCCCAGGTCTGCAGACAGAGGCTTCCTGGGCAGAACTGCTCTGCACCAGGAAAGGCTCCACATCATCTCTACCAGCCAACTGATGCACCTCACCAAGTCTTCTATCTAGGGCCAGGTTCTAGGACTGGTTCTGATGCTGCCTTAGAGTGTCCTGGGCACGTTCACCCAAGGGAAAGTGGTTGCTCTACCAGCAGAGAAGGCTGTCCTGCAGGCTCAAACTCTCCAAAAGGTACTTCTGGCTGCAGGTAGGCACCCAAAGGCTAACTCTAAAAACAAGAAGAGGAGACAGCCTATCCTGGCCACTCCAGACCAAAATGGTAAAATAACTGGAGTGACACCATCCAAGAATGTGTATTCTAATACAGCACAGTCTGACAGTTTTATTCATTGGGGGAGTCACACCAGTTCATTTACTATTTTAGACGGTCACAGCACCACAAAACGAGAACCCGTTTGAAACAGGAGCGCAGTTCATCCCATCTGCATATATTTTCAGATTTGCCCATCCACCACTCAGTTCTGTATAGCTTTAAGAGCAAATAACCACTTGGGGAACAGCACAGGGCTTGGTATTTATTCCTATTCAAATGTATGCCACTTTCACAGCAGAAAACCACCTGCTCTAAATAATACGTGTAGCATGACGTATTTTCCAAGTAGGCAGATGAGAAGAGGGTAAAAGGAGTCAGGTACCAGCAGTCAGGTTTAGATCCGCTTATTGAATCTAGCTGCCAACAGACCCCCCACCCCACCCCATCTCTGAAAGGCCACCCAGAATGATGTGTTGAAGAATTCTGAAAGAAAAATGCAGAGTAATTATATTGCAATATTTTTATTAAGTTAAAAACTCCATAGGCAACTGGACACATGGAACAAACACAGGGTTTTTCACACAGAGCCTGTGCCTAAGGGAGGTCAGTAATGAGTAAGTGGCCCATTCTTTAATGCAGCCAATGTATACATTGCATTAAAGCCGCCCACAATATAATCCACTTGAGGATAAATTCACATAATGCATATAAACATAATTGCATTCTATTCTTTGCTTCATAAACTTAAAACATCTACAGGAATTCCTTTTAATTTGCTGTTGGTTGCCACGTTTGATGGGCATTGTTGTTTTAAACTCTGTAGTCATTCATTTTCTCCAACTGTCTTCATTGGAGCTTCCCATCCCATTCCTATCCATCTCCAAAACCAACATGATACATTATTATTATCCTTTTTCAATCCTTTTTAAGACCTTTGGCAAGCATCCTCTGGAACTTTATTTCCTACAATGCAACTGCTCAGATTTTAACCTGATGTTAAATCTCTAGGCCTTTGTCCTAGAGAAGTGTTTGTCAACCTTGGCAACTTCAAGATGTGTAGACTTCAACTCCCAGAATTCCCCAGCCAGCATGGCTGGCTGGGGAATTCTGGGAGTTGAAGTCCACACATCTTGAAGTTGCCAAGGTTGACAAACACTGTCCTAGAGAATTTGCTTCCTTAATTTTTTTTTTTAAATAGACACAAAAATACATAGTGCCATAACACTATTTGAATTCTTTGAGTAGTGCTACTGAGGTGAAGGCATTCTACTTCACCTCATAATCCAATGTGCTGGATCAGCCACCTTGAAGTAAAAAGCTCCTACATGGTAGGAAAACACTGAAAAATCTACTGTGCAATTGATGTACATGTGAAACATCTGGTTTTATACTGCTTCATGTCCCTTCAATTACAGCAATTGAGTACATGTTGGGAAAGGAAAAGGAGAGTAATTTTGTACCCAGGAGAAGTGTAGCAACAAATCTGGCTAGTTGCTAGGAGGGCGAGGTAAGAGCAACTGAACTTGATAGTAAGGTTGAATGAATTTACATATACTTCAGAGGACAGGAATCCAACAGCCACCCAATGGCATTGACTTTTTCTTGACTTTTAAGAAAAAGACCGTTTCTGTTTCTCTTACAAAAGGCACATAATAGACTTTACGAGAATAATAAATAGTATTCTGTCAGCCTTGTCAATTGGGTGGGTCACAAATTAGGGCCGCCCAGCAACCTTCAGAATACTGGCAAAGATTCCAAGCACAAGTCAAGGGACAAATAATGGATCTTCTGGGTGCATTTGGCAGTTCTGAACCCTCTAAATGGACCCAGAGTACTGGCAAAACCAAAAGGGGAAGAGAAATCAGAATTGGTGTTCTACTGACAAGACCAATTTGTTAAATGATTCTTTTACAATTGTTCAAGCTCAGAGCCAATGGAGATGTGATCCTTGCAGAACCCTCAATTGGAAGATATGCCTGCTCCAAATGGGTGGGAAAGGAGGGATATCTGGTTAAAGGACCAAGTCAGATATTGGGGTTCAGAATATGGCTCTACACCAACCATTTACCCACTTGCAGCAAACTTGAAATATACGTTCAGAGGGTGACAAGTGATACTGATCAGAAGTATCTTGCTTGCAAATTGGAGCTCTTCCTCCTCCCTTATTTCTACATGACTACAGCAGAGTCAAGCTTAAAAACACACTAACACAGCTCATCACATCTGGTGTAGCTCTCAGCTATGAGCAACACTGTTACAACAATATGTATTTTCCCCCTTTCGGTGCAGTGCAATTTGTTTGCCAAAAAATCATGATGCATAGCAAAAAGTAACCTCAAGTTATTGTTCACAAACCAGTCAGGAAGAAGAATACAGATGCTGGATCAGGAGAAAAAAATATATTCAAAGTTATGCTCTTTACTTTAAGAACTGCAGCGTCATTGGCTCATTCTGTTAAAGCTGCAGAGTGAACACAGCTCCCATTGTTTTTTGCAGGCAAGAAAAACTGGAGGCCTTGAATTCACAGATTCGCCAAGTCAGCAATCAAAACCAAGAATATAACATCCTTTCCACAACTTTTAGGAAAAGAATTATGTCGCTATACATTCACTTTCTTCCTCCCCTTCTCCCTGCCTCTGGCTAAGGTGGAATATATCTGGGAAAGAAGTACAAGAAGGAATTCAAGACTTTAGTGAGGGAATACAGATCCCAGGCAGGATAAGGTGTGAAGTTGTATGACATACAGTATGTTGTATGTTAATGTTGTATGACACATGGATATACAGATGAATGAAAACACAAAAGGTAAAAAAAGGTCTGCAATGCAAACTCCACAACAGCACATAAGTGCATAATACAGAGAAGAACTTCCTACTTTTTTGTATCCCTCGCATCATAAGACCTGCTCTTCTGCTTGCTTTGAATTATGAAGCTCCGTGGAAACAAAGGGACCCAGACAATGACAATCTCTGACAATTTCAAGGTAAACTATTATGGCCTAAAGCAAGCAAAACAGCAGATACACCCACATTTCTTATTATTCAAGTCCTCAGCAAATTAGACAGTGAGAGAGGTTTAGGAAGAATAGGTCAGCTCCAAGTTATGAATCCCTTAACATGTAAGGTCCAATGGATTGTAATGGAATTCAAAATGATGGGTTAGGACCAAACTTTGTCATGCTTAGAATATACCCACTGAAATTTCTAAGTGGAAATCATGGCTATAATTAAGTCTAATTGCTTTCAACTGGTCTATTCTGAAGATGAATAAACTTGGATCTAACCCATTAATTATTCCAGTTTCACTCAAGGCATCTCCACATTATCAAAACTTGTTTCTGTTAAAAACAGATGAAAGCATAAAGGGTATATACATGTGATTTCCATAGAAAGTGGAATTCTGCAGAAATATTTTCATTTGCAATCCAACAGTGCTAACATACAAATATAAAAGTGCTCTATATAGTTAGAAATAAATAGAAAAATACAGCTTTTGGTAGAACTATAATATTACTCTTATGCACGCTGGGGGGAACTGTCTGTGACAATCCATAATTGTGGCTTGCCTCTGCTACAAAGTGCTAAGCAAGGTATTGCCTCTCCAAAATTGCATCATGTCAAGATTGCATCACTTTTGTCCCTTTATAGCATGTAAAGAATTTGCATGACTAAGACCTAAGTCTCAAGACATATTTCTTTGCAGACATTAGGAGAAATTACTAACATAATCAGTTTATCTTGCTCTCCTGAGATCCTGCCATAGAGGCTGTTAATTCAGCGACATCAGCGCTAATCTCATGGAGGAAAAAGTGCAGCGATGGAACTGCCTCAAGTCCTTGGCCACCTGGGGAGTATAACCCACCTGGAACCGTTTGATTTGTGTTCCATAAAACGTAAAATAGGATTTACACATACACACACAGACAATATGCATATTTTTGCATAAAACTTGTTAATCTCTGAAGTTATGTGAAGAAGATCTCAAAAGGCTCACTAAACTTTAAATAGAGAAGTTGGCATAAATTATTCTCTCAATGTGAGATGTCCAAACATGATATCAAGAAGTGTTTTTGATTTCTGGTCCCATTTGCAAATAAATACATCGCAATCCATGATGGATGCTTGAATGGAAAGGAAGAGAGATCTTGAATACGTTGCATCTACCACAGGAACAGATTCAGATGGGGGGGGGAACCCCTCTCTCAAAACCTTTCCATTTGGAATCTGTCAATCCTCTTTGGTTTGCAAACACATCCATATTTTGAAGTTCAAGAGGCCCCCAATCTTCTGACATTAATTGGCACCCCTGGCCAAGTGTGAAGTGTTGAAACAGCTTGATGACCCATCCGTAGCATTACCAGAAAGCAAGGTTGTGGGACAGATGATCTCTTTAACACTTACATATGTGCCAGCTATGAAACCGATCACACCAAGGGAGGCTATAGAAACGTCTTTGAGTATCACCCATGCGCTTAGTTTCTCCTTGTAAAAGGTGAGAATTTCAATCAGTGGTGGCATGATCAAAGCCAAAGTGCTGCTGCTTACAGCTCCGACCAGCGAGATCACGATATCCAGACGGGGGATTGATATCGCTATGGCACCTGAAAAAAATAAGAGTTCAGAAGGGAAGGTTTGTTATTACTTAGGAAATGTGGTGTCTGTATGAAGAGAAGTAGGCATCTTTGAATGAGTTGTGGCACCAGGCTGGAGGTGTTTGAGGGTCTGAAAGAAAAGCGCTACTTTGGTTTTTAGAGGTGAACAAACCTCTCCCTTCAACAGCTAAAAACAAATTAATCTCTCCAAAGGAAAGTGGGACCATGCAAAAACTTGAGCAGCAGAGGAATATGCAAGGCATCCAAAGGCAAAAACCTATGTCACCCGTTGGGGGAGATGGGCGTCATACAAATTTAATAAATCAAATCAAATCAAATCAAATCAAATAATCAAATCAAGTCAAATCATTGAATGCAATCTTCCTGGATCTCTTCATTATGTTGACTTGGAAGTTGTAGTTCCATAACTCCAGAGGCTGAACAATGATGTTCTAGAACTAATCCTACTAAGAAAAGAAATCAAAGCATTACGGAGCACAAGTTACCTTTCCTTCTTTTTTTAATGCCTGTCATTCTGTTTGATGACCTTACTGCAACTTGACACACTGTGGATCAGGCTTTAGACAACACTGGTTAAAAGGCATTCTGATTTTCTTTCATTCAAGTGAATAGTGTCCAGTCACAGATATGAAAGAAAACAGCTTCTCTCTGAAGAAAACATTGTGGATTGGAGAGGATGGAATGAATAGGAAACTCTTCAATACAATGTTGTATCCAGGCAGACATGAGATCTGCATGATATGCAATCTCTTCCCCAATTAGACAGGCCAAAAATCATACCGAGGCTCTTTCCTCATCTTGTGTCTTATCTAAGCATTAGAATATATTTTTACCACCCTGCATCTCTATCTCATACAACTTTGCAAATTAAATATAATCTAAAGTAGTTATTAAAATGGAAGGTCCTACAGTACAGATAGCTCAGATCCTAGCCATACAAACAGCTATGCCTTCTTCTAATAAATCACATTCCATTTCTTCTCTCCCATTTCAGTTTAATTCATTTTTTTTTCAACTACAGCATCTATCACTTATTAAGCATGCTCTATTCTCAATGGGCAGCTGGATTCTGAGTACCGGCCTCTTGCATTCTTCTAAGCGTATAGAAGGGTTGCCCAGTTTAAGAGCTCTTCACATACCCTCATCAGGCCTTGAAATTTGGAGGGAAGTAACTGGAATTTTCAGAAGCTGAGCAAAATCTCCCAGGGTCACTTTCTACCTCCCAAAACTGGGGGAAAAAAACACTTAATATAAAACGCAAAGCAAAAATGGAGATTCTTAACTAAAATATAGATGAAAAAGCTTGGAGAAGTAGGGAGTTTTGATGACATATCAGGAAATTTAGGAGACTTTCTATAATCTATTCATCATTAATGAAATATATCTTATTCTCTGTTCCAAGCATACTGTGGCTTGGGTTTTGTAGGTTCATCTGCCATGGAGGTGGGAGGACAAGATCATGGAGAACTTGCCTTATAGCTTATAGACAGTCTAAGTGGCCCGTGGGTGGTGGTGGAGGACGTCCTGCCATGTTTATTCTAAGGAAAAAAAACAGTCCCAGTCCAGATGCATAAAGCTCTAAAGCATAGAATTACTGAAACTTTCCAATACAGACACAAAGGATGGTGATAAACACCCCAAATATATGTATTTATTTGAACATCCTACTTATCACAATGTTTAGGGATAAATTACAATCCTAAAAAAAGGAGGAGACAAACACAGAATCTCACCAATGTTTTGTTTTTCGCCATTCTCTGGAATAGCATACCTCTGGAAATTGGAGCAGCCCTGGCTTTTCCAGATGGCCTTCAGAAGAAAGATGAATTTTGGCCCCTGCTGGAGAAGAGCATCTGCACTGATAGTTGTTTGAGTGCTACATTATTTCACATTATGTTAATTATGTTTTTAATCTAGATATTGGAGTGTAAACTGCTCAGAATCATGTGGAATTGGAGGGGCATATGCACATGTGCATTTGGCTGCATCAAAAATAAATCCTAATCATCACATCCCTATTTTGAGGCAACCAGTTTTATTGAATCACAGAGTTGGGAGGGGTTATTGTGTCCAACTGTTTGGTGCAGGAACCCACATTAAAACATCCCAGACAGGTGGCTGTCCATATGAACAAATTCCAACAAAAGAGATCCCACCATCTCTATGATTAAGAAGTCCCACTGTGGAACTGTTATGTTAGGACACTAGGGGAAAAATAGCTTCCTATCTCTGTCTTCCCAATATGTAAGATCAATATTCCATATCCTTTATTCTATGATGGAGAACGGTAATGGCTTTCTTCTGTGGAACATCTCTTCAGGTTAGTGAAGGGTGCTGCCAGATCTTCCTAGCAATTTCAAAAATACAGATGCCCATACCAGAAACATAAATACATCCAATTAAGAAGTCATCCTAACTTTCTTTAATTAGACATGAAATCCAAGTCATTTTATAAAACGCTGAGTCTGAAATATGTTTGTGTTGTATGGCAAAAACCTAGTTAATGAATATATGGAAAGCTGTAGCAACTGAGAAGCATTTATTTCAATGTAAGTTACGTGGATATGGTGGGTGGAATCATTAAACATCAGTTTGGGGCTATAATAGACTTCCTTCAATTATTCTCAAGCAATTGCAATCAAGCTGGTTTATTCATTAATTATGTTGAATTAATATACCTGAAATTTATGCTGATTATAAAAACAGGGATTTACTTAGGTGATTCTGAAGTTCCTGAAATGTAATGACTGAAAATGACCAAAAATGTATGCAGACCCATTTATCTAAAAAGGATAACAAAAACATAATACACAGTACTGAGAAATTATCTTCCAAAAGAATGTCTTTTGCTGCCTACAAAGCTTGGGGTGAGTGAATATTCCATCTTCCTTCTGTTGATGGCAAATAACTAATGCCTTCTCTATCATGGTAGCTCTCCAGCTGTGATGGAACTATAATTCCTAAAGTTCTTGGCACCATGGGCTGGGAAATCTGGGAGCTATAGTCCCAAACTTATCAAATAGTTAAGGAAAGTTGTTTTACTGCTTTTTGTTTAGGAAACTTACTATGGATTAAAATATTAATCTAAAACATGCAAGTTCATTTCATAAAAAGTCTGCTGTTAAAGTTATCATGTGTCTAGATCCTCCCAGACAAATCTAGTTTTTAGATTCTGAACACCCTGTTCCACTAAACAGCTAAAAAAAACAGCTAAAACATCTGAATGGCTTGCTGGTCTTTCAAGAAGCTGGAGCAGTCAAGACTTGCCACCACACCTTCAACCTTCTTCCTCTTCTGTGTCCACATCCTCTCACTGCTCTTTCTTCCAGTATTCTGCAATCCTTCCTCCTCTATTTGGCCACCCCAAACTAGGATCCAACCTCATTCACCCTTTCATTGTCCATTGACCATTGACCCAGCCTTCCTCCATCTGTTGTTGTTGCTGCTATTACTCAAGGGTATGGTGTTCAGGAAGAATACAGTGAGGAGTATTAATGTGTGTGCAGAAGTGCATATGAATCCTATATTTGCATATACAGTATGTATGTGGACTTTGAACAGGGAGACCCAGGTTCAAATCCCTACTTGATCACCAAGATGAATTTGGTGTCATTTCTCAATAAATAAATCTATGCTTCAAATATTTTAATACTTATTGTTCTTATACATAAATACCCCCCACCCCACAAGATGCTTAGAGGATAAACCACATTTCTTCAATGAACAACAGAGGCATCACTTTAGGGTCATCCAACGTCAATTAAAAATGTAATTTTTGTATGGTTGGACAGAAATTGCCACTCAGGATGCATAATTCTACATTGGAGAAAACTTTTCATTTTGAATTAACCCTTTCTCAACAAAATAGAAGGACTCCATCTGGACAAATGTTAGTTTGTTGTATAAAAACCTTTCCCTGTGGCATTCCCCTCTTCTGAAACAGGATATCCCCAGAGATGAAAGGTGGGGGGCATCCTTGCTATTATTTCAGAAGGCAATTTAGACCTGGTTTTCTGGGGTGGGGGGAGGCTCTGGGAATTTTTAAAAATTATTTATATTTCAAATTTGTGACCGCCCATCTCACTACAGAGTAAAAACAGAGTAAACATATAAATAAATAAATAAGCAAGCAAGCAAGCAAGCAAGCAAGCAAGCAAGCAAAAAAATAAACTTCCTGTATGATACTTCCAAGAGATGGATGTTTATTAGGTGTTAATAAACTCAGGGAGCATCGTCAAGGAATGACGTAGACAATAGGATTAGCTTCCACCAAATGACTGCAGAGGATTAAGACTATGATGAGCATTTTATTGTCAATGATTATGATTATAACTGCTATTATGTTCATTGGTTTTATTACTTGGGGTTCTAGTTTGTATTTTAACCTGATTTCTGTAATGAGGAATGTGCACCACTCAGAGATTCTTTCTGAATGGAGCTGCATATAAGCTCGAATAAATTGGAGAATTTCCATGATTCCTTAACCATAAACGATGCTGGCTGAGGATCATGGGAGATGTCAGTCTAAATTTTGAATATCCACAGGTAGCCTACCAAATTGTGGTATACAATGTAACTGCAATGTAATTGCAGTGTGATGTATGCACAATCTTTTAAAAAAAAAGACATGGCAATTGACATGCATGCACACTGACATGCCCACAAAGAAAAAGACAAAAAAATTAAATTGTAGAAATGTTTGGCACTTAGAAATTAAAACTAAGTCATGATACCAAAATCCTGGTAAAGTTTGAACAGTAAAGGTACCAATCTTACGTGCTCTGAATTTGAGTAAAATTTCACAGACATCACAACCATGCAAGGCTTGAGTTTTTTGGGGCTTTGAAGAAATTGCAAGCAAGAAAGATGTTTTAGGAAAGATCTGAAAACTTACAAAACTAACAAATATATTTTAAAAGGACTTAGGTTAAGAGCCTTGCAGAAGGGCATTCTTGGGTGGTATTCCCTGCATACACTCCCTCATCTTC